GAGGGTGAAGGGAGACGTCGGACAGGGCAGGATATGACAAAATAATAATTTACAAATCATCAAGGGCTCATGAGGGAGGGGGAGCGGGGAGGGAGGGGGCAAATGAGGAGCTGATGCCAGGGGCTTAAGTGGAGAGCAAATGTTTTGAGAATGATGAGGGCAATGAATGTACAAATGTGCTTTACACAATTGATGTATGCATGGATTGTGATAAGAGTTGCATGAGCCCCTAATAAAATGATTTAAGTAAAATAGCATCTGAAAAACAAACAAAAAGAATCTTATTTCTGAGGGCCCCATTAAAACACTTAGTTTCAATGTTCCCGTTAAAACCAGAATGTTTTAAGTGAAAATTATGTATAAAGTGAAAGCTGGAGAATTTGAGACCTTTTTCACTTGATGGTAGGGAGTTTCAGAAAGATCTTAAAAGTTGGTTTCCAGAAATTGCTTGCATTTTAAAAGGCTATAAAAGTAACCTGCCACTCCTCAGCAGTTTCTGAGTCATAATCTCTGACCCTATTGCTTAATGGCTAGTGCTTCTCCAGCAGCTTCTGCGTCAGGCACAGGCCCAAGTGATTCATACGTATTTTCTTATTAAACCTTCCTAATACCTCTATAAAGTGAAAAATGATTTTATAGCCCTCTACAGAAGGAAACGAGTATTCGAAAAAGTTTCCAGACAGTTACAAAACAACTAAGAGTCTCTGGGTGGTGCAGTTAACTCACTGCTAACTAATAGGTTGGAGGTTCAGATCCACCCAGACGTAGCTCAGAAGAAAGGCCTAGAGTCTACTCCTGAAAAACCAGCCACTGGAAGCCCTCCGGAGCACAGTTCTACTCGGATACTCAAGAGAGGATACCCTAGCAGACGGGATCAACTCAAGGCTGCCAGGGCTTCAGATCAGTTCATTCTGGTTCCACCCCCCACCGCTGAGAATTCGCCTTTCCAACACCAGAGATACTGGACCAAAATCTTATGTTTACATACGAATCCACTGGAGATCTTGTTAAATGGTAGATTCTGATTCCGTATGTCTTGGGCAGAAAAGCAAATTCTCAGCAAGAGGCATATCCAAAATTCACAGGTCTTTCCCGTTACAAAGCTCAAGTGCCGCCATTCTACGACACCCTGATAGCCAATGTCACCATGTAGCACACTCATTTTATACACCAACCATTTCTAATAGAGCTATTTTAATGGCATGTACTTGTAAACAGAAGGAAAATGTGTTCCATGCAGCCCATAAGTCAATACAACTTTTTTTTTTAATGTTTGAAAATATCTGTAGAGTGAGAAGCCAGAAAATATATTTTAAATGAGTGAGCCTGCTATCGCCTAGAGCACTGATCATAGACTCAGGATATGTGTGCTGTCGCTCCTTCCTCCCTTACCCACGATGAACTTTATCAACCAATCATAGCACTTGTGATACTTATCATTTTGTGAAACCTTGATGGCGCTAGGATTCTCAGTGGTTCTGCATTCAGAGATAGTAACCCTTCATGAAGAGACCTAATATGATGTAATCAACTCTATGATGAGATGTGCTAGGAGTGGCCAATCAATTGAAAGGATGATTGCTGGGATATAGCTTGCTTCCAATATATGTGGACACCGTGGAAAAGCTTGCTTGCTTTTTGCTGGGTTTGGATCTTACATCTGAGGCTTCATCCGACCTTCCGTTCTTTGGACTTGAGCCGCAGCCTGCCATAATGCCTGCCATTCTAAGGAGTCATCATCAGCCTGCCATCTTACTTGCTAACCTTGGATTCATTGGCCTTTGCAGCCAGAAGCCTGCTGTGTGACCTGCTGATCTTGAGTTCATCAGCCCCTGCATCTCCTTGAGTCAAGAGAAGCATCCAGCTGGACATCTGACCCACAGGCTTGGAACTTGTCTACCTCTACAGCTGTGTGAGCCACTATCTTGATATAAACCTCTCATCTATATACATAGATAAGCTCTACTGAGTGTGCTTCTAAGACAGTGCCCTTCTGTGCTAAGTCTACACGTCGTTTCAGGATCCTCACCCCACCACTACAAAATAATCAGGCAACAGTGCACTGTTCTGCCACCCCATGATTCAATGCACTAATTTGTGTCAGAGCTTTTTAAACGCTTCTCAACTTTATAGAGAGAAAATATTGGGCTTTATTATAAGAGAAAATGCAGATTTGGGCAACAATAAATACCCTCTTGAGGCAGGGGGCGGGGGTGGTGGTGTGCTAGACCCCACTGTACAGGAAGATATGTTTGCCTGAATCCCCTTCCTCCTAGGGCCCTCCCATCTATTTATTAGATTTGCTTCGACATGGGCTCTGCCTGCTAGAAAAGTGCTTTGGGTTCTCACGTTGCTATATAAGCCAGTGACACAAGTTAAGTCTCTTGCTTGCTCTGACCCTTAAACTCTTCTATGAGTTTAAGACATTTCTAAAGGTCAAATGAGAGTTTGACTCTGCTATCAGTAGAGTTTAGAAGCCAGGTCTCACCCTCGTTGGCCAACTCAACGGCGTGTCTCTGCCTCTTCAAGACTCACATATTTTGTAAGGGTCACAACGTGAGGACACCTGGAGTCAGCCCCACGACATCTGAGGCTAGTTCATCAAAGCACAGAAGTGTCCCTCCAGATGGGAAGCGAGAATGCCCACACGATGATTCCTAGCCAGAAAGAAGACCTGGCCCCATGAAGGGAAGCATGTCTGGAAGACAGCTGTCCAACGATCCCTCCGACTGGTCTTCCTGCCCTGAGACCGCTTCTCCCGGGACTCCCTTACACCAGCAGGCAAACTCCTTGTATAAGAGATTCCACTTCTTGTATGGACCCAGCCCATTTCCCGACAGAACTTCCTTGAGTCTCCTATCCGCTCTTTTCACTTAATCTTTAGGATCTTACTCTTAAATGAGGATGCTTTAAAAAGTTCACGGAAAAAAATTAAGTTAAAGGATAATGGAATTTTTCCACGAACTTTTTAAAGACCCTTCATAATCAGCGTGCTTGTTTTCTCTCCTCCAGACTCCATCCAGGCTTTCTGAGTCACAGTAAGTGCACCCACGGCATCAGACTTGGACTCTGAATTTGCTGTGGTTGATAGATAACACGCTTAAGATGATTCCTCGCCTTGCTCCTGGTTTGGTTGAAATTCACAAATATACGTTCCTTAAACTATTACTTATAAGTTGCAAGTTTCCTTTAAAAAGTTTTTTTAAAATATTTTGATAGGCAATGGAAACTAGAGGTTCCATCTTTTCCAGAGAGTTGGTGGAAAAGTGTAGCTGCCATTTCAATAAATAAATGTCTATCACAATCGAAAGAGGAGCCACAGTGACCCCTCACCCCCCCATTGGAGGCTTTCAGGCTTTGCCTCCCACCAGGGGGCTGGCTCAGTGCTGCAGGGGTCCCAGGCCACCCAGAGAAGGCAGCAGAGCCTGCAGGGGAGAGAGGGGTTGGGAAAAGCTACACAAGCTCTGTGGATGGCAGCTCCTCGGACCGGCAGCCTGCCCCATCGCCACTTCCTTTGCAGGCCCCTCTGCAGCCTCCGCGTTCACGCTCTGCTAGTGCTTTGAGCGGAAGTCCCAGTTCCCGCGGCTCTCAACGAGCGCTAGGCTAAAAATACAGTGCGCTGGCACCTGGCCCGATTCTGGAGCCCCCAAACTGCCAGCGGGATAAATGAGAAGGGGTGTGTTTGGGGAGGGGCGGGGACAGCAGTGAGAAATGGTTGCCAAGTGGGAACTTGGAGGAGGAGGAGGGTGTCATTAGGAAAAGAAGAGAGGAGTGAACGTGTTTTAAAGAACATTGTGTTAGGAATGTTAACAAGAACCCCCCCCCCCCAAACTCACTTTCTACGTTCTCATTCCAATAGTCCCCCTGATGACTACTTTTCAAAGCAATGTGAGTTTCTGTACACGGGGTTTCCGAGCCCAATCCCCACAGACGGCTTTGCTGTGCCTATGTCACATGGGAATCCTAGGGCTACATCTTAATGGACTCCATGAAATTATGCTCAGAACTAAAATGCAGTTTCAGAATTTATTAACTATCAAAATGTGTTTAGAGCCTGAATCCCAAATCAAAATATCAAAATGATTAACTTGGCCAAGCACATTCCTGAGGTTTCTTAGCTATAATTCAAAGAAAACGTTTTTTCTCCAAAATGACATAGCTTTATTACCTTGTCTAATAATTAAAATTCATTCAATATAAAAGGATATACAAGAAAATAATAATAATTTATAATTTATCAAGGGGTCACAAGGATGGGAGGGTGGGGGAGGAAGGTAAAAAGGGGAGCTGATACTAAGGGCTCAAGTAAAAAGAAATATTTTGAAAATGATGATAACAACATATGTACAAATGTGCTAGATACAATTGATGTATGGATTGCTATAAGAGTTGTAAGAGCCCCCAATAACATTTTTTTTTAAAGAGGTACAATAGGGAGATTGTAAGAAGAATACGAGTTGATTTTTATAACACATTTAAAACAACACTTGGAACATATGTACTATATTCATAGAGATAACTCTCATAGTAAATAGACTTTTCTATAAATATATGAATATTCACATATATACCTTTTAATAAATATATAATAAGCATCTGAATATTCATATGTATACCTCTTTTAATAACATACATCTCTTTTAATAGATACTTCCCTTAATAATATATATTATAATGTGTGCATATATAAACTTCAAAAAGCCCAGATCATGAGGGAAAGATGAAAGACTGAATTCATCCTCATGGAAGTCAGGAATGACAAGAGATCGCCCACACCAACATGCTACATAAATTTTTGTTCTGATAATGCTACTCCAATAAGCAAAAAAGCATAACTTCTATAAATATAGAAAAATAAAAGGACATTATCATTCTTTACAAATGATGTTATTCTTATAATCAACTGGTATTTTAGATTAATTTCAAAAGGGTCATTTAGAAAGAAATATGGAAATAATCTCAAAACGGTATATATAAACTAGAAACCTGAACTAACTCACCTTGGCAATATAATCTTGGAGACTCCCAGGTGCCCAACGCTGTGCAGGTTGAAATGGCAGCTTCCGGATGACTGAAAAATCCTTCTTTGCAAACATAATGCACCTGGCTGCCCAGCCTGGATGTATAATTTCCTATGATATAGCCATGTGGGACCTCAGGAGGAGTGCCACAGTCTATTTCTGAAAAGAAATCAATGTCAAATGTGAATGTGAATTTTCAAAACCCAAAATTTCACCCCACTTTTACCCCATCCTCTCCACTCACTCCCTGGGCCGTGCGTTAAGTAGGCTGTATCATTTCCACGTGACTTTTTGCCACATTTCCAAGGGCCTCTCAGCGATAATGGTGCCTTTCCATGCACAGAACCGAAAGTCTTCTTTGGCAATACAAAGAATTACACATCAATGTTAACTAAATCCTACTGACTAAAGGGCAGGTTAGTCCAATGAGGTGATGTGTAAATTGTAAAATACCTTTAAATACACGAGCCTGTATAATGTTCAGAGTCATTTTTGACGAGGTTGGTCCTCACTACTTACTCTGTGTTCACTGTCTAACAAAATGGTTCTAAAACCCCAATCCCTTCCTCCTTGACTTTGCTAATTCCTTTTTTTTTTT